ATTATTAATAAAATCAACAAATACATAAAAAATAAACCGAATAATTAGCACACTGTTAGTTTCCGGTACCGCCGTTATAAAATAACCTTTTCCTTTGCTACCTGTTTACACGGCGTACATGCACTATTCCCTTGCTTCTAGTGCCTAGGGGACCATTTGAGCAGGCGACGGCTGCATGATATTTGAGCACCAGTGCAAGGACGCAGAAAGAAGAATTATTGCAGTAAGTATCGAAAAGATACTGACAAATCTATACACAGTATCATTTATGCTTTACTCACGGAACAAGACTTAGCTAAAAAGAATCATCGCTAAATCATCATCATACGACAGGAGAGACCAATGGCTAAAGTATTTAGGATTACCCTATTTCAAAGACCGTCAAGCTTTATTATACCAACAATCATCCGAGAAAAACCAAGTTTTGTGGCTTGCACCAGGAATCACACTGCTGCGCTCAACATCAAGCATTCATGGCCGTGGTTTAGAGCAGGTGCACAGACAAAATTGAATGGTATCGCTTCGCGGAACCACGTAACTCATTCTTCAAAGCCGCTGACGGTTTTTGCACGCGCAATACAGTGCTGGCCTGGATGACCAATGTGTCCATTCCGACCTCATGCTAACCATCAATCGCAGGTGCTCTCCCGAAATACTTGAACTTCTCCATGTGCCTCATTTGCGTCACACTTAGCAATGGTCATTTTCGACAGCACAACAACCTCGGTGTTGGCCAGCATAACTTATACTTCTGCCTTCTTACACGGAAAACGAACAACATGTGATCATTTGCTTCACGGGAGACAGTCGAATATTCAGTGTTGTCACTTTCTGCCGGCTTAGGCTGCATCTATGGATTCAGTCCATAGACTTTATAGAAAAGATAGCATACAACGAATATACTGGGGAATTAGCATATATTTTGTGAGGCATCGAATGCTAAACTTGTGTATGTGTGTGTGTGCGACAGCAGACATGTGATCGCTCTGTAGAGCAAATTTTTCATATTTATGAACGGTAAGCAGCTACGTTTTAAGTTACCTCAGGATTATTTATAAACAGGGGTGCACCATACCAGTATTTATACATAGGTTACTCCTTCGATGATCAGACGGCACAACGTTCATTTCACCTCTAGCATTTAGTCCCTCTTCTTCACTGTTAATGACTAGTTGTTTATTGATGTCAGTGATCTATTACATTAAATGGAATCATATGGATATACTAATAGTCATTTCAACTACGCCCCTGTTTCTTTAGAAATCTACTTTCAACCCAAACACTGAAGTATATTTAGTATGAACGTCGGTATCCAGCGCCCTGTTCAATGGTATGATAAAGTTCTTTGTCTGTTTCCTTCATTCGATTCCATGTGAAGCTCGTATTCCTTTCAGATATCGTGTCGAAAACTTCCAGACATTTTTCCAAGGGGATCGATCAGCGAATGCCTAGGCTGGTTCGATTTAGGACTTGATATCCTTTTATGTTTTGTGTTTGTGCGCTATACACAATTGTCAACAGTCTCATGCCCTCATTGTTGATATCGCTAGAGCTGCTCTTTCCAATGATTTATTTCGTAGTCGGCACTCATATTCTTCCTCAGAATTTGACCGTGGACCTGTAAACATTTCAAAGCTTTAGCCTATTGCACCTTAAGTTGGAGGATTGTCACCGTTCCTCTGCCCTGGCTTCCATTCAACGATTCTGTCAACTACACTGGGTTCTACCAGAACACGACACCGACCTGAGCGCAGGTCACAGAGGCGACACCTGAGTGAAGCAGCATCCACCGGCAGAGGTTCAGAATTCCAGAGGTGTGGCACTTCGCTGAATAGAGTTCAACTATATCCAGTCGATATCATTAACTAGCTCCTGCTTTTCCCTCTGAGCGTGGAGATGTTCCAATTTCAGATTTTGAGCTTCCACTGCCGGTGTCGTTTCCATGGAACTTTGTCTGAGTTGCTATTATCGCACTGCGCTGTTTGCCTCCTCTGTTCTGAATGATTAACGGCTCCGTTGCTGACGGTGTCTTCGTCGTTTTCATGTCAGTTAGCTTCAGCTGTCGCTTTGCTGCTACGCCTCGTCCTTCGGCATCTGCCAGAAAAGTAAAGCAAATTCTAATCGCCGACTTCGTGCGATTTGACTCAGTTTCCAAACGGTCCTTTGTAGCACAGGAGACAACCGAGCAGGTATAACGTTTAATAATGGCGACACCATGGAGAGCTAGTCGCTAAGTTTAACGGGCAACCTCGCCACAGTCTTCAACCCCATTCCTTTGTCATCTTTGCTTGAGACCGTGGAGTTTTAAGTTTGGTCTGAAGATGAAAATTATATATAGATATGAAAATGGACAAGATTTAATAACCATGGAAGGTGTTCTTTGTCTAGCGCCATCAACAGTAGACACTACTGTGAAAAATATTGCTCATACAATGGAACATAAATGTGATAATGAAGAATAGATTGATTCGCATGGAGATGAATCATCAAATAAAAGACTCATTGAATTAAAGGCAGCGAAAGTTGTTGAAGTTTGGGCTTAGAAACTAAAATAAGAACCAAGGCGTTTTGTCATGAAGGAGTTGATAATCGCGTCCAGTGAGCTATCAGCATGATTGGAAAAAATTGATTCCAATGCTTCACAGTTCGGAAAAGTCCAGAGATGAATAAATGGCGGCTTAGCCTGCTATCGAGTGATTTATAAAGAAAAATAAAAGTCACTGTTCAGTCATCTCTTGGTCATTTCATATTTAAGATTAACTGCCAAATTAAAGATCTTTTATTTCTATTTTCCATACTATTGATATCGCACTATATTATTTTACATGAATATTTGCATGTTGAAGTCTAATTATTATTCCGCTGAATGAGACTAGCAAAAATAGGCTTTAAAACATGATAATGCTCTACTGTATACAGATACTGTAAATACGTCAGCAATAGGGTGCAATTAACGGATGGAATGGGCTAAATCTGACTTTCGTAAAATTTGTCTTACGTAAAGATTTAATAAAACGTAACTCGAAGGAAATTCCTGATTAGCCGTAGATGCACTCGCATTATCGTGCTTGCTGCCACTTAAAACATCATATCTTTGGCTGTTTAAATCGTCAAGTTTCCAGTAAATCGAAAACCTACTGTGCTCTAAACTTGACATATATTTGAATATCTTTTTCCCTAATTAATTTTTCTAGACTTTTAACCGCTTCTTACTTGATCTATTATCATTAAGATCCTGTTTATGTCTTTTCGAACTGAATGCTTCAATTTCTTTGAAGAATTTATGAATAAATTGCTTAGCTAATAATATAAGAATTTTGGATATGAAAGTGTTTAATATTAAGTTTTAGTTTCAGCAGAGTAACAATGGTATAATCTGTTTGTTGCGTCTATCTTCATCAAAAAGAGTTTTTTGTATGCTCAGTTTATTTAGTATAATTAGAGTTAGTCACGCTTGCAGTATTTGGATGATCTGTGTTGGAATGTCATAAATGAGCTCGTTCGAAATGTACAAACAGCGCCAAAATACAATACCTTGTCACAGAAAGATATTTGCTTTCGTGGTTACACCTTGTAAGTGCCTGTAGTATTGTATACTGTGCTCTGACTGCGATGGCTACAGCGTGGAAACAGCGTGGCACTAAAGTGATTTTAAGTTAACCTGTCATTTCTTCTTTGCCCTGAACCATGAGTTGACAAGAATAAATCAGATCTTTTCCGTCCATCCAGTCCGGCAGGGTTACCCCGTCAGGACTCCGTCAAGTTGTGTCGCATCTACGATCCATACCCTCAGGATTCCTGGAGTATGCATGCCCTGGGGCACCAAAGATTGAATTTGAAGAGTGGGCAAGAATGGTAAACTCCGTTATTTTCATGACATACTAAATTCGGCACAACCGAATGAGTCACATTTGTTTTGTTGTTTTGCTTTGTTCATAAATCAATAGCGCAAATGTGGTGAAGTGATTCCTTTGTAGTACTTTCTTCATCTCTGTAGAGTACCTGGCATGAAGTTTGATGGTACTGTAATTGTTTGAATTACGTCGTCAAGCGTTCGAAATGATGCAGGCTACGTAAAGTTATATAAGGCTGTTGGTAGCTTCACCTGAAATCGAAAACTCATCATGTGCAAAGCAAAATACAAATCAACACGTGAATAACGACCTCTAGCGGAGCGACGCGTGCGCATTGTCTCTACATAGCTCAATCTCCTTGTTGTAAATGACAAGTGAAATCTGATTCTATATCTATTCCATACAAGTCGCCAAATTTGGCTCAGTGCTGTGAAATGGTAACGCTCTTCTTCTGGTGAAAATGGGTGTTCTACCAAGGTAGAGATACATTCGCCTGCG